ACATGGTAGGATTACATATAGGTAAGATTACATGAACGAGTGGTTGTTTCATAAGCCTGCATAAAACAGTATACAATATAAAATACAATATACAAGGACAGTAACAACATACACAATGACCTGAAGTATATGTGTGTTCATTCAAAGAAAGGTTTTCCTATGAATTAATTAGAGAAGAGTCCATTTTTATGGGCAATATGTGTCTTTCCTTAGGAGACATGGAGGGAGAGTTGCTCGGCCCGCATTCCTTTAAGCAATAAAACTAGTTTTATCAGATGGTTTGTCTATGGTTGCCATGGAATCAGAGGCCTGTTTTGCCCTTTTAAGGTGTTAGTTGCATTTCGGGGGAAGGGGCCATAGACCCTCGTAATTGGCCCTTTGGTTAGGTGAGGGGGCGGTAGATATTATTTGTTAAATATAACAAAAAGTTGTGTGTCTGATTGGTCCAAATGCTACACATGTCAAAAGATACAATTCTACAAAAATTTTGCCTGCCACGGGAGCAAATTCAGCAGCTTTTACATCTTGTTGGTCCAATTTTGTCGAGACAAACTCGACAGAGCTACCCCCTAAGCCCCGAAATTCAGCTGCTGGCGGTGTACCGATGAAACATGCTACCTATCAGATTGTGCTACCAAAAATATATTTGCATTTGCAAGTTTAGGGTATATACAGTGGGTACAGAAAGTATTCAGATCCCCTTAAATTTTTCACTCTTTGTTATATTGCAGCCATTTGCTAAAATCATTTAAGTTAATTTTTTTAATTTGGATTATTTTATAAATGCAGTGAGCCCCGATAAATGCAATTTCTAATATTTCTAAAGTGCTTCTTTATAATGAACATCGCTTTCTCAATACTTTACCCGCTCTATAACGCAGTGAAGGAGCTCCTGTATATAGTGAACAATCGATTCTCGAGCCATCGATATCAACCTATTCAGCACCACCGCCATGGACAGCACCTGCTAACGTCGCACGTTAGAAGGTTTACCTTAAGCAACATCCTAAGGTATAGTTCGGGGAACACACCTAGGAACGGTATACCCCTAGTTAAGGTGTACCTTTAGAGTCTTAGTAGCGCGCTAAGAGACACCGTTATCGGGAAACGCAGAGCAGAACCTTAGGAATCAGTCTCTGGGTGGATGAAGGGCAGAAACTGCATTTTGACCAATGAGAAGTCCTGTCCTTCTTGGGCTTGGTACCAGACGTCTTCTTCTTGCCCTCTAAGAGGTGTCTGGATGTTGTCCTAGCATATTTATCTGATGGCACTGGAAAGTTTGCTTACGTTAGTCCACCAAGACCCAATCAAAATGTAGCAAACCTTTGTCTACTATTGTGGTCAGAGAGGGGCCCTGCCATAAACTGGGCCCTGGAATGTGCTGTCCACTACACTTGGCTTAATGAATATTAGATCCCTTTCAACAAAAGCGCTTTTTGTAAATGAAATGATCACAGATCATAACTTAGATGTGCTCTGTTTGACAGAAACCTGGCTAAAACCAGATGATTACATTATTATAAATGAGGCTACCTCCCAAGATTACTGTTATAAACATTCTGTCAATTTTCTGTCAAAAATACTAGAAAAGGCAGTATCCTCTCAGCTATGTTCCTTCTTGGAGAGAAATGGTATCTCTGAGGATTTCCAGTCAGGATTTAGACCTTATCATAGTACAGAGACTGCTCTCATCAGAGTCACAAATGACCTGCTCTTACCATCCAATCGTGGTTGTATTTCTCTATTAGTGCTACTGGGTCTTAGTGTTGCGTTTGACACTATCGACCACAGCATTCTTTTGAGTAGACTACAAAATTATGTTGGCATTAATGGAATTGCATTGTCATGGTTCAAATCTTACTTATCAGACAGTCATCAATTTGTAGCAGTAAATGACGAGATATCCTATCATTCACAAGTACAGTATGGAGTGTCACAAGGCTCAGTATTAGGACCGTTGCTTTTCACACTTTACATATTACCCTTGGGAGATATCATCAAGAAACATGGTTAGCTTTCACTGTTATGCTGATGATACTCAGCTCTATATTTCTTTGCGGCCCGATGAAACATACAAATTTGCAAAACTAACGGAATGCATAGTTGATATAAAAAACTGGATGACTAGTATTTTCCTACTGCTAAATTCTGAAAAAACTGAGGTTTTAATTATTGGACCAAAAACCTCTGCATGTAATAACCTAAAACACGGTCTAACACTTGATGGCTGCCCTGTTAATTTCCTCATCAGTTAGGAACCTAGGTGTGCTATTTGATAGCAATTTTTCCTTTGAAAAACATGTTTCTTGCATTTGTAAAACTGCATATTTCCATCTTAAAAATATATCTAAATTACGACCTATGCTCTCAAAGTCAAATGCAGAAGCGTTGATTCATGCATTCATGACTTCAAGGTTAGATTATTGTAATGCTTTATTGGGTGGTTGCTCTGTGCGCTTAATAAACAAACTCCAGCTGGTCCAAAATGCAGTAGCTAGAGTTCTTACTAGAACCAGGAAGTACGACCACATTACCCCGGTTCTGTCAACTCCAAATACGCCTCACAGAAGAAACCCAGGAAATCCCTATAGCAGTTGCAGAATAAACAGAAGATTTAACTGCTTTCATTAATTCAACGTAACTAAGCTCCATCTGAAAGCATGTGCTGGAGATTTACTACTAATCACAGAACCGGCTTTACTGACAAGATGCGCATGACAATCGCATTTGATTAATCGTGCAGCCCTAATACCTAGAATATCAAAATCAAAATCCTTTTCCTATTTAGTGCCCAAACTCTCGAACAATCTACCTAGCATTGTTCGGGAGGCAGACACACTCTGTCAGTTTAAATCTAGATTAAAGACCCATCTCTTTAACTTGGCTTATACATAATACACTATCACATTTCTATAATTCAAACCTGTTAAAGGATTGTTAGGCTGCATTAATTAGGTCAACCGGAACCAGGAGAATGAAAGATACTAATATTAGCGTAGATGCCACTCTTCTACGCTAATATTAGTATCTTTCATTCTTGTTCTGAGGTCACCGTAGCCATACGGATCCAGTCTATATCCAGATCAGATGGTGGATCAGCACCTAGAGATGACCTCTACAGCTCTGAATGTCAGCAGAGACTATGTCAACTAGATGCGCCCCAGAGACAGATCCCCTGCGAAGACCACATCACCTTGACAACCATCGGCACAAGACCACAAGTCCTCTGCACCTGTGTTGCAAACTGTAATTAAACCACACCATGCTGGTGTCGTCTGGCCAGAGGAGCACTGGCCCCCTGACGGAGCCTGGTTTTTCCCAAGGATTTTTCTCCATTTCTGTCAATGATGGAGTTTTGGTTCCTTGCCACTCTCGCCTTTGGATGGCTTAGTTGGGGACGCTTGACTGATTGCACAGACACTGTTGGAAGAGAGCTGAACTGGATGATGACATCACTGAATCATCAATGAACTGACTTTAGCTGGGAAAATGACTCTGATATTGTCTTCTTGCATTATTGACAATCTATTTTCCTGTTTAACACTGTAAA